ATTTCGAAAGATATAACTTTTTAAAGCTTGGCCAGACGTACTCGTATCTTAAATTAAACTTGGCTTTGTGCAGGAGGAGATATTTGATGAGACAGATTGCCATGTTGAAGATTGGTGATGTTCGTTTTATAGACATTGGTTGTACTAGACACTCAATGATGAAAATCTTCTTATATTTACTAGTTAGGCTATGCTTATATTAGAAACAGCGTTGGATCGAAACTATGCAAACACTCGTGATGTTGTACGAGGGTAGAAGAAAGTTGGCCAATAGGTTTGAAGGAATTCATGTTTCCTTTTCGTTGTATTTGGACTGATCAGAGCTCAGTACATGAATGTTATGTTGTTACTTCATAGATCTACGTGACATAAAGTGATCCTACAGGGGCAAGTGGAGAACCACATGATCACAAAGATAGAATAGGCTTCGCCATAGTCACTTTGCAAAGGTGATGCTCTAATGTCATTTCTCCCTAAATCCATCCTAAAATTCACAGGAAAAGAACCAACTTGACGAAGCTAACAAAGTGAACTCTCATAAGCTAACCTAGGTGCTTGGAACAAGTTAGACCTTAAACGCAGAACAATCGAAGCTGTCGAGGCATTTGAATGTCCTGTCCACCTCAAACCCATGTGGCAACATGAGGGAAGTGCCACATGGTAAAAACAATTAGAAGAGTGTGAGAAACGTGATTTAAAAAATCTTGTTAAAGTAACCAGTCCAATAGATAAAAGATCCCGTGTCATACAACTATCTAGAATTACAATTTATTACGGAATTGCAAATAACGAGGTTACACGTGTCTAATAAATACATAAAGACCAAAAAATCGGTAGCCTTGAGAAAACTATAAATATATGAGAAAAATCTCGTTCTTCATCTCTTAGGTCATCACTGACGACAACTCTCATCTAAAATTTGCACCCGGATCTCCAAAAAGGCTCTAGGAAGGCAATTATACAAGGGATTAAACTACTTGTACACACAAAGTGTACACCTTGACACTCTCCTATGCGTTAAAAATCTAACAGTTGATTGAAAAAGATATTGTAAAGATCACTATACCAAAATCTGCCAATTCATATGAGTGCAAACTAATGCATCAACTTTTATGTACATGTAGCATGGTCCTTATACAAGAAGGTGGTTGGAGATTTATTGACTCTCATTTTTCGAGATCAACATCTGTAAAGCTGAGAGCCATGGAAGTCGAATAACTTTTAAGAGGGTTATGAAAATATATTTACTCCACAGGTTTCTTTTCTCAAAGGATAGCTATACAGTCAGAAGTAATTGGTGAATTCACTATTCAACATCTGGTCGAGGGATAGTAAAAATGTCTTTAGATTAGTTGGATGGATTTATGTTGAGTCTGCATATTCATTACATTGAATTTCAATTAGGACTATGGAAAGACCAACTCCCTAACCTAAAACCTCCCTCGAGAAATTTCACCATTTGCTACTTGCCAGATGCCATGCTTAGCCCATGCCTGGGAGCAATTCTTAACCAATTTTAATCATTTATTATTATTATTATT